TCCATTGCCCGAAGATAAGCTATACATCATCTTGTAGAGAATTTAATTCTGCATGGAATGATGTGTAGCTTATATTCAGAATCCATTTCCTTGGGAGTGATCAGGCCCAAACTATGACATGAGTCATAAAAAAATTGGTTAAGGAGCCACAATCGCGATTTCGACCTTGCTTAAGGGTTTCATCAGGTGGCATTATTCAAATTCATCACAACTCTAAGAGTTATGGCAAAAACCGAATGTTCAACTCCTAATTAGAAAATTAGAAGAGAACAGGTATTAACTGTATGAGCTACAATCATAATGAATAACAGCCACAATCTAGAAGTTGAACATTCGGTTTTTGTCATAGCCCTTAGAGTTATGGTGAATTTGAATGATGCCACCCGATGAGACCCTTAAGCAAGGTCGAAATCGCGATTGTGGCTCCTTAACCAATTTTTTTATGACTCATGTCATAGTTTGGGCCTGATCAGTCTCAATGAAATGGATTCTTAATATGAGCTATACGTCATTCGATGCAGAATTAAATTCTTTACAAGATGATGTATAGCTTGTCTTCGGACAATGGATGGTTTGCGCAGGAAATAAAGTTTTTTCAAATTTTTTTTCGAATCTCTTTATGACTCAATTCATAATAAGGGGAAGATCACCCCCAAGGAAATGAATTCTTAATATGAGCTATACGTCATTGGATGCAGAATTAAATTCTCTACAAAATGATGTATTGCTTATTTTCGGGCAATGAATGATTTGCCCAGGAAACAAATTTTTTTCAAATTTTTTTCCAATTTTTTTATGACTCATGTCATAATTTTGGCGTGATCACCCCCAAGGAAATGGATTCTGAATATAAGCTACGCATCATTCGATGCAGAATTAAATTCTCTACAAAATGATGTATAGCTTGTCTTCGGGCAATGGATCGTTTGCTGAGGAGATAAATTTTTTTCAAATTTTTTTCCATTTTTTTTTGGCTCGTGTCATAATTTGGGCGTGATCACCAGCAAGGAAATTGATTCTTAATAGGAACTATACATCATTCGATGTAGAATTAAATTCTCTACAAAATCATGGATAGCTTATTTTCGGGCAATGGATGGTTTGCCCAGGAAATAATTTTTTTTTTCAAATTTTTTTGGCTTTTTTTTGTTATTGGATCCAAAGATGCCCATGTATCACCGATATGGAAATGGAATCTGAAGATGAGTTATACATCATTTGATAGAGTATTAAATTCTCTACAAGTTGATGTATAACTCATGTCCGGGCAATGGATCGTGTGGTGCACAAATGGATTTTTTTTCAAAATTATGTGTTTTCATTTCGTCGTGCTAGCTTCACACTGATTTATTTTGTATTGGTTGCTAAGTGCTGCCATTATGGTTGCGCAAACCCTCAAAAGGGTGTTTTTTATTATTGTAATTTTTTCATTGGTTGATTTTCATATCCAATGAAATTTTTTTCTTCGTCGTGCTAGCTCGTCGCGTCGTGCTAGCTTCACATCGATTATTGACCGATAGCAATTAATCTGAAAAGCAATTTTCAGTCGCAGAAAAATGCTACGATTGAACAAGGCAATCATAGCTGTTTGTTTTTATAAGAATACTTGATCTTTGGATTGGACTGCTGAATTTCCGGTGATATTTCTAAAATCCTTTGCCAGTTTTGAAAGTCTCTGAGGATATAAGGATGAGTGTAAGGATAAGATGTTTATTTATCGTTTTACTGACTTATACCTGCTCACCCATTCGAAGAAAAAATATTCGGTACTGCTTATTTCGCAATTTGTGAAATTTAATCAAGGACAAGTATGTTCTGTTCACCATTGCATTGATATACACAATGATATCTGTAAGAATTCGAATTGAGATTTTGAGAAACTTATTCTATATCGCCGTAATCATAGATTTTTTGAAATCATTGAGGATGACAGAGAAGGCTTGAAGAGAAATTTTTGTTTCGTTTCATTGATAAGAACGTCTAAACAAAGTTGTAAAATACTTTCTCATATTATAAAACGAACAAAATATTTTGTCACTGATGAGATAAAACAAACATTGCACTTCTATGCGTAAAAATCATATTGCACTGCTCAAATGCACATCTACTAACTTTCCAATTGTCGATCGTTCGGTTAGTCATTGAAAAAAATGAATTTTCGATTCATAAAGTTTAACAAGAAGAAAATTTGCAAACAATTGTTATAGAAATGCATCACAATATAAACTAATAAAAAGAACGCCGTGGAGCTTATGAATTCAATAATATGCAATGCGTTGATAAGAATTTTTATTAAAAAAAATATGTTTACATCATCGATTAGAATGTATTGGATTTTTCATAGCACGTCGAATTCCTTCAATTTCTTTAAGAATAATATCACATTGAGGTCGATTAGCAAGTATCTTTGGTATAAGACCACCAGGATCAGCATATTGTAAATATGTGTAACGAAAACTATCTTTGTTATCTGTCTGCTCAATAAGATGTGCACCTTTGAAAATAGTTCGTACAAATTTACCGCTCGGATCTCTTGCTTCTGGCAGATCGATCGATCGATAACTAAGCATAAATCCATTTGGCAGAGTTCGTCGTATTTTGATATAGCATGTGTCACGAGGAGCGATCAAAATTGATGGAGATGCATATCTAACAAATTGAAATTTTTATTTTATCGAATGACCGAAAGGAAATGAGCTCAAGTGTATTATCAATTTTTCTTCATCAGATATCAACCATTTGTCCTCAATAATTTATTTATTGAAATATGCATTATGAAGTTTTCTATAAGACTATACAAGGGCATTTGAAATGGATTCATCATGTAGAATATTGCAGTAGAAGAGCAAAACATTCTATATTCATATTTAGTAGGATGACTATGTTCTTGTTTTCGACTCAATGAGCACAATAAGCTAAGTACAAGTCATTTCAGGTTCAATATCATGAAATCAGTTTTTGACCCATTACATTCCTATTTTGAAACAAGCTTATGCTACGAGTGAGAAAATGCACAATTTTAATGAACGAAAAACTTGATTTGGCGATTTTTATTTGCACTATTCTACCAAATCAGGATAAAAATATGAGAATACGTGGAAAAAGACAAAAACTAAATTTGGCTGATTTCATCTGGACGACATGATAACCTATAAAGTTCGTTTTTACATATATTTCAATAAATCTTACTGAAAATAACAAATTTCACTTCGACCATCTTCGTTTTTGTGCACTATTCGACCATCAATAAAAAGTTCATGCCATTCCGAATGACGTTCTTTGAGACTGGTATCGAGTAGATCATCAATATTTGCCATTGAACTATTTTCGACATGTGCAACTAATTTAATCCACCAAATAGAATCACCTGAGGGTTTATAAATATAGCACACATCGTCTTTATGTTGTACGCCACGTTTATATTCTTTCCACACATTTTTATTGTTTATTAACGTTAAGTCTTCGTCTAAATAACGATCGAGTGTTGATGCATCGTATTTAGTAGCCATGTGACTTTTGTTTTTCTTCGTTCCTCACTTTACCTGTACACATCACTCGTTTAAAACATCACAATCGACATAGAAAGATGTCGTTGTCAACTACACGCAAATACCCTGTTGAAAGTGTTTGTGTACATATTCTACATCTTCATTGTTCTGCATATACAACAATTCGATGAATGTCTATTGAGCAAGGCTTGACTTGAAAGAATTAGAATTGATGTAACAGTTTGAACATTGCAGAGAAAGCCAGTCAATCATATTTCAATAAGACCAGATATGAACATCGATAGGGAACAAAAAAAAACAATATTTTGAGCTCGACGAAAGTATCATGACATTTTCTATGATTTATGGAAAAATCAGCCCTCAGACTAGCTTTGTTCTTGCAGAAATGGCACTACATTGACTAAACTAATGTTTATATATGATTAAAAAGTGAGGTAGATATTGTGCACATTTATTTAACAGATCAAGATACTGCTTTCAAAAATCTAGCTCTATTGCATTATGCTTCTATCAGAAGTAAAGTCTGGCAGCATGAACGAACAAGTCATAGGTCATACAAAGGAAAATAATGTTATTTTAGTAAAATGAAGCCATGAAGAATTTCATCAACATTGAGAACTGAGGAGTATTCATTTGTGAAGATATGATCTGAATCGACTCAATCGAGTGGTTAAGCGATGTGTTATGTGTACTATCAGCTATCCTTGTTGATTGATGATTGTCCAGTTGCTTTATAATCTAACTGAATTGAGACTAATCTTTTCATATTTCAAAATATTGTTGCGAAATTTCATTTTTTTATCAGAAATTAAAAGAAAACTGAACACAACCGAAACCCAAATTCATTCAGTTTGGCTTTTTTTTGATTGACTCGTTTTTCAGATTCTGTAGTATCCCTTCCTTAATTCAATTTTCTATTGATGGATGAGTGCTGTGTCATGTAGTTGAATAGATGAGGGTAATTTTCTCTATTTTTGGCAAAAACAACTTAAACGGTTTGAATACATGCATTGTTACAAAAATCGAAATGACGGTGAACAATTGAACTTAGCGTTCTCTTTGAAAAACCGTTTTTTAGTCTATCGAATCTCTATCAAATTTATTGACTTTCGATGTCACTTGTGGATCATTTCTTGTGCTTGAAAATTTGCACTAAGTGTCAACGAGGCAATTTTAAAATGATCATGAATTGATAAGTTTTGATTTACGGATACACTTTTCACGCTAAAAAATGAACCACTACTATACATTGTTATACATTATCTGACTGAAATAATCTTTGGGCTTTTGTTTCACACTTATATTCTTTACCTACCGGTTCATATATCAACAGTTTATCTTGATGGTGTTAGAAATAGCACTGGGCGACAGTTTAATTTATCATTCAGTTCCCGATGCAAGAGATAACATTCTTTATTTTCATAATATTCATCTTGAAAGTCCTTACCAAGTCACATCAATGAATTTCTGCCTGAAAAGTAAAAAAATTGTTCAAAGATTTTTCACAAGCATTGCCTTAACATTTAATGGAAAATTAAATGAAAAATTATTTTTTCTAATTTAATAACATCTAGATGACAATATGTCACTATTGTTGTATTTGTCATATGACGGATAATGATAAAGAATTGTGTATTTTCGAATTATTCTGAAATTCAATACACTTTAAAATGAAACTCTCATTTCGATTTAGCAGACTCATTCTATTTGTTTGGTTGAAAGTTTTCGTTTAAATGAATCAGTTTTAATGATGCATAGATGTGAGGCAAAACTATCGAAGGGAGCAATCATGCTTTTAATTAGTTAATGTACGTAAATATTGTTCTATTATTGTTTGTTTAATCATGAGTGACTTCGTCGAGCACGACGACCAAGCACAGAAGAAACGGTGCATCTTGACCTTGTTCTATTTTAACACCGTACTTGTCATGAAAGGAAAAGAACTTCTTTGAAACCGTGGCAACCAATTGACCATCTTTTTTTATTTTGAAATCTTGCGCTCGAAAGTTTCCTGAGATCTTGAACGTGCCCAACTTTGAGGTCACCTTGAATTTGGTGCCAAGTCCAGTCCATTTCACTTTACGCCTGAAACAAAGAAAGGATGACAAAAATAATACAAGGAGCAATATTTTTGCTCATTTATATATAGCAATGTATCGTAGTTCTTTTATTAAATTACAAGTTGACTACAGATAGTGTAGTTATCATTATAGTTGACTGAAAATTTTTAGGACAAATGAATACATTATTACAATTTGAAGTGAGTTCTTTCTTATAATGAACGGACACAAGTAAGAAAGATAGATCTCATCATAATTCTGATGTGCTCAAAGATGTATAGAGGCTTCTTGGAATTGAATCAACCCTTGAATATTTCCATTTACAATATATACGTTGTATCATTAAAAATATAAGTCATAAATTAAAATCGCTACATTTAAAGATGAAAACATTGAAAATTTTAACTAGAATGATCAATCAGATTTATTCGGGTAATATCTTAATAGATATAACGAAGTCATAAATATAAAAATGCAATTTCAAGAAATCTCCCTTAGTTTATATGAAAAATTGGCTTAGCAGAAAACAAAACCGAATGATTGATATGAATAGAATAAGTTGAGAATAAAGAAATGTCAGATATTCGAACACAAAAACACGTGGTTTTGAGCCAAAATATCAACAAAGAGTCCAATCAACATCTTTGTTCACGTTTTTCTGCATTTTTCTCATACATACTATAAAGATTCATAGAGTTATAACTAGATAATCAAATAGATAATCAGTCATCATTACCTGAAATTATGAAAATTCATCTCTAACATAAACCAAGTTATTCTTATATTCAAGAACACTATTATGAAGAATCATTAAACTCAATCATAAAGGTTCATGTCCTGAAACGTTTGTCTTTTATCTTTCTCTTCTCTGTAGAGTATCAGCTGTTTTCTTGCGCATTTTTTCTTTCTTTCTTCTTTTTCTTTTATACATGTGCAGACATATAGTATTTTAGGGGAAAGGAGGTCCACTGTTACAGTCTCCACTTTCACGTATTATTATATTCGTTCCATTATAGTACATATACTTTTCTGGTGTTCTATCCTTCCTTTTTTTCCTTCACTGTATCGATATCACTAATTGTTTACCACATTCTCTGTCCGTGTGATATCATATTATCTCATCGTCTGCCTCTCTTGCAGATATGTAATTTTTTTCTCTAGTTATATTAGAGCAATGTTATGTCCCATTCTTCATCTCGTATCTTTCTCTCCTATCTCTCTCCTTTTCTGGTTATACACTTTCCTTGATGTTCTGGTGAATAAAGGTTTTCAAAAAAAGTCTATTCTTCTTCAAGCACCACTTATACAGCCGCACTCCTAATAATGTGTCAGAATAGAAGAAAACTATTTAAATCAACATAATCTGTATAAGTGCACTTCATGTCTTGTTCTGTCTTTTGTGTTCTATCATCAGTGGCCTTGACTTTACATGTGGACGACGCGCCGACCAGCTTGGTTATTCAAGATTAAGACTGAAAGCCTTTTTTTTTAGGAAATGTGCTCAGATTCAATTCTGAATTGACCAGAATACTAATATGGCAAAGTCTCGTGCAGAAAGACTAAAAATCAATTTTGCTAAATTAAAAAAACTAACTTCACATCAGCGACGACTTGATTGTTTTGACGAATCTCATATTTGGCGAGTCCAAGTGGATTGATAATGTGTTTGACTACAAATAGACGACATAACAGACATGGTCGTTAGGAAAATGTGGAATATAGTCTTTTACTTACTCGAATATAATTCTGTTCCTGAATTGATATCAGTTAATTCCAAATGTTTACCCAGACCTAGTGTTTTGAATCCGACCTATTTTAAACACGTTAAAAATAATACTAAAAATAGTTGCCAGACAAATTAAACAGAAACAAACTTTATAGACGGGATTGCCCTTCTTGTCCTTGATTGTGTATGACGAAGTACCTATTGTAAGTAACTTTTGTTTCATCTCATACACAGTGGGTGATTTAAGTCCTGATGAGAAAAAAAGACCGGCCACCAAAACCAGAGCATTTCCCAATAAGAGTAGTTGAAGAAAAATGCGAGTCATCATCTTGTTAGAATGATACGACTTCTTTGCTTCTATATATATATTGACTGACTGTGGAAATGTTCGAGGCTATCGGACTATCTTTTTTCTTTCTTTTTTCTTGTTTATATTTATCTTCTTCTAATGTTGTCCGCAAATATCTTGGCTTCGAATTCCTTCTTCTTTCTCTCCGTTGTAATTTCCACATAGAGGAACAGTAGGAAGAAAAAATATTATCATATCAATAACAAAGCGGAGAATACCCTGTTAGAATCAGGCATACAAATAACAGCTGTATTTTACCAGTACAAGTTAGCTTGTACTTGCATGCCTAATTGATTAGATGTTATGGAAGTTAATAGAGGATGTGTAATTCAGCACATCAAGAGATAAACGATGTATTCCATAACTCAAATATCATAAACATCATTGATAAACTTTAATGAAGCAGTAACTAAAATGGGCAATTATCTTTCAGAGTTCACTGGAGAAATACGGTACTTGAGTGTAGCGAACGATATAACTTTTACTGAACTCTTAGGTTCTTGTGATTCGATATGCTAAAGACGCCTGAGATCTTCCTAACTTCATAGAGAACCTTTTCATAAATCGGAATATTATACATTTTGTGTTCAATCTCTACGTGATATCAATAAAATGCTACTGAAAGGATATGAATGAAAGTTGAATCAATGAGAAGCGTAACAGGACCCTGTAGAAAAAGCTGTTGGGACCTTTTTATTATCTAGTGTATCTAGAGCGTTAAGAAAAATATCGTTGATTAAAAATGTTACATATCTGGAGACCTTGTGAGAACAGATAAGGTACCAAAAATATTTTGGTGCTAAATTTACATTTCGAGTTCCCAAAAGCATAAAAAATCAGCAAAAGTTTCCTAATTTTATTTTTCTCGAACGAAACCTTGAAAGAATATTATAGTTCAACTTATCTGAATTCGACTATAAATATCAAGGTTATATGTTAAAGGTCTGTTTTTTTTCTCGTCGAGTAATTAATCTTGAAAGCTCAATAGAAAACATTAGTATCTCAAAACAATCGGTAAAGTGATGTATGCTCTGCAATACCTAATATTTATTAGTTCTCTTCGAAATCTTCAATAAGTCTGATGATCGTCAAATTATGAAAGAGTATTATTTTTGACTATTCTTGACGTTATGCGAGTGTCATACACTTCAAGGTTCGAGACTGAATTTTATATATGTTGTAGAATATCAACTAACTCATCCATATGTCTATCATGGAAATATCAGTAGGATGCCGAAAAATTCATGGCATGAATCACAATTATACATACTCTCTTTAACATTAGTCACATGTACATTCACACTCAGTTTAATTATTTGCCAAGTTGAATCCTGAGATTGTTCTTCATCATCAAAATTGAAATAGACTGGCAATATTACTGACAGAAGCACCTGTTTTTATTGTAACATTATGTTTTATTCGATGATTTTGTTTGAAGAGGATTTATAAATTTCAATATTTATTGAGAAAAACTCAGACTAAGTCCGAATCGAAAATTTTCTACTACTTGTGGCAAAGTTTCTTGTTTACTAGAACACTTTCTTACACTTTTACGTTTATCAAAGTGTACAGCGGCTTTCTTTTGCTTATAGAAAAATAAACTATAGTATGTATATACAAGCGGTGTTTATTACGAATCATTGAAAACTTGTTTTCATATTGTTTTAGTCGTATTTACTCGGTCTATTCATAACAATATTTACATGACGGCTATGATTGTTTACATGTGCAAATTTCCACATGATTAATAAAGCATGAAAAGAAATGCGACTTCATTGTGATTGAATATCGTATTGATGTTTTTTCTGTGCACCTTCATTCGTATGAAATAAAAGGGAAGACCGTACCTAGCAATAGTAAATTGCACGTGTTATTGACTAGTCTTTCGTGTTCTGTATTTTTCTTTTATCGATGACGCTCATTTCTTTTATTTTTCTCTTGTCAGAAGACTGTCGTCTCGCTTGCACACATTTATTAGTGAAAATAAAAGCAATTGCAAAATTATGATGTAGGGACATAGTCTAGATCGAAACGACATCATAGGAGTCAACACTGTACTACAAGTTATACAAGTAAGTTTATTTTTTTAAATATTCGTATTTTTCTACGTTTAGTGTTTATTCTTCATTCTTATAATGATTAAGAAGCACTTCAACACTCGAGTGTCAATTAAACACTCAGGCAATTTTAACAAGTAACAGTAAATTATTATTGATGAATTATATGCATGTCCATCATACTTTTCTCTGATTTTATTGGTCTTATTAGAATAATTACAATGTCTTTCAACTGATTTAGATGTGCCTCTCACTCATGATCATTTCAAAAGCTTTTCTAATTTCTTAACAGAGCATTAGGTTTCTATCGTGACTTCTTCGAGTAAATAAATTCGTTGATTGAAAACAACAGGAGAGTGATACCATGCATGTGTATGATGCATCATCTACGTCCAAACGAAAATATTTTGCTTAATTTTTTTCACATGCAAAAAAAAAAATCTTTCGAGCTGTACTGACTCATCAGACGTATTAAACAAGCTGAGTCTCTTGAGTTTTTTTTATTCGAAGTACCCCTTCAAAAAAAGTTTATATCATTGTAAAGAATAGTATATAATAATAAACGCTCGTTATCCGCTTATCATTAGTACATAAATCCTTTTTTGAATATATGAACGCAACAAGTCCTTGTATAAAGAATTTATCGTTGTACATTTTTGAAGACAATCATAGAATAACAAACACTTCGCCTGTGCAGTTTATTTGGTTCATATACCTAGAAAGAGTTTATGAACACAGGAAATTGTATAAAACTACATGAATTCGCAACATGTCGCAAACTTCTATCATGTGTAATGAACAAATAGTAAAAACTTTTTATGTTACACTTATTTTTTACAACAATACATTTGTGCCTATATGATTCAAGAAGCGAGCAGAATTTTTTGTTTTGTGTGTACATCAAAATCCTCGATGATCTGGAACGGTCTAGTATTGCCCATACTACAACTCATAGGCTATAGAACCATTCTAGAAAATTTTAGTTTATGTCATCAAATCTATACAATTCTAATTGCCAATGCAAATAAAGTATGCCGTTTTTCATCCTTTGACAATTATGTGACAACTACTTTTTTTTGGCAAATCTTAAGCGTCAATATGAATGAAAATTTATCTTCATCATACACCATTCGAAAGAGTAAGTGGTACCCTATTTTCTTCAAGTTGTTTATGGCTAGTACTTCAACGTACAAGGGCAAACAATAGACAGTCGTATGTGCGATGAAAAAGGACATACTTGATTGTATTAGCAATAAGAAGTGCGTAGATCTGATGAAGCAACCTATAATTTTCTACAATGATATTAGAAATTATCAGTCGTAATACGACGACAGCTAGAATATTCCAGATCATCAAGGTTTTAATACATAAGTAAAACTAAAAATGGAGTAAACAAAGTAAATATTATATTGCTTCTCATATGTAAGATTCATCGTACGACGTATTGAGTAAGTAATGCTTTTCTAGGTCATGAATCATGTTCGATCATGTGACTAGTTCTTAAATGAATTCTTGTAAAATAAAATTTGAATGATTAAGTTTCTTTTTTTCAAAAGGAAACTCAGTGCTAAATGATTATATAGCACTAAACTGATCTCATGGAAAATCTTAATTTTTAGATTTTGAGACAGAGTCACCATCTCCTAAGCTATTATTTAACTTGGTCTAGACCACGAAAACAAACATGGTGCAAATTGAAGATCCTGATGTACGTCTTCTTCGAGAGATGGGTTACACGCAAGAGCTTTACCGTGGCTTTTCCCCATTTATGTCATTTGCTTTCTGTTTCACTGCTGTCAATGTTCTCACATCAATTTCAATCGGTTTCACATATTCATTGAACACTGGCGGATCAGGTGTAACAATATGGGCATGGGTTATTGGAGCCATATTTACTATCCTCATCGGACTTTCTTTAGCTGAAATATGTTCTGTATACCCTAGCGCTGGATCTGTATATCATTGGTATGTTCTTGAGAGTTGCACATCAGCCAACTGATGATAGAAATATGTTTCTCTTCTTCTAGGGCAGGCCAGTTGGTTTCCGCTAAGCATGCGCCGTTGGCTTCGTTTATTTGTGGTTGGTTCAATTTCATAGGGAACTTTGCAGGTAGGAAAACAATCAAATCGTCAATCAATTTATGATTTAAAACATGTTGCAGGAGATGTTGCATTTGCATCTGGCTTTGCTACGATTATTAATGCTGCCATTATTCTCGAAGGGAAAGATTCACTAAGCACAGGTGCCCAAGTGGGCATTGGTATAGGAATATGTTTTGTATGGGCTGTTCAAAATGCGTTGCGCATTGATCAGCAAGGCTGGCTTAATAATTTTGCTGTTATATTTCAGCTTGGATCAGCAGTTATCATTGTTGTAGTTCTTCTTTCTATGGCTCCTGAACGAGCCACGGCTCATGATGTTTTCACATCAACATACAATGGTACTGGATTTTCATTTCCATATGTATGTTTGATTGGCATTCTTTCGACACTTTTTTCGTTCTCTGGCTATGAAGGTAACAGTTTTGGATTTAAATATGTTTTTATTATCTCTGAATTTTCAAGCCGGCGCCCATTTGGCTGAAGAAACTAGAGGTGCAAGCCGAGCAGGTGAGTAAATATTCGAAAGAAATTAAGCTTTTTACAATGATTGTCAGTAAAATGATCGATTTTTCTTGTTTTCAAGCTCCAAAAGGAATCGTAGGCACCTGTATATGCAGTGCTATTACTGGTTTTGCTTACTTGCTTGCTTTACTCTTTGCCATTCCGGATGTGGGCTCGTTTATTGATAGCAATAGTGGAGATAACTCAACGCAAAATCTTGCCGTTGCTACGTATCAGCTTGCTGTCCCTCATAAAGGTGCACTTGCATTGACGATTCTACTAATTATCAATTTGTATTTTGCCGGTATGTCATCATTG